GGGGGGGCGGGGGGAGCATATTAAACCTACATGTGCATGTGCAAATGTATCTGTAGACAAACATATATACATATATGTTGCACTGCAAATGTGTGAGTAATAAAGCATAGAGTTGGCACATCTAGGGATACTATCTAGAAATAACCAAATACCTCAGGGGCATTGGTTTTTAGGTTTGAAGGCTTTGTCAAAAACACCTAGTGTCATTTTTAACACTAAACACAACATTCATCTTCTGCCTCCTAGGGAGGTGAGTGCTGCCTGGGGTCTTTAAAGTTTGCAATTGAAGACAGAACTATTGGTCTGTACTCATCTGTCGACAAAGATTCAAAAATGGAACTACAGGTGAATTTCCCACACAACCAATTGCTCCTGAAACTAAAAGAACTAGATGGTGCTAAGCTTCCACCAGCCATCCGACTAGGAACACAATGCAGAGTCCTAGAGATAATGGGAGAACAATATACAACAAAACTCAAAATTCACACAGTAAAACATGTTAAAGCGAATTGTCCATGTTTAAAGAAACAGCCAGGGATTCCATATGTTGTCAGGAGTCATTGAGTTCAGTGCACAATATAGCAAAATCATACTGCCTAGTCCTGCACCATCCTCAGAATCATTCTTACGTTTGAACCCAGGAACCTGTGCATTTTAAGGAAGATCTTCCTTTTTTGATGCCCCTCTACTCCACCAAGCATGATTTCTTCCAGGGACTGGTCTGGCCTGACATGTCCAAAGTATGTGAGACAAAATCTCACCATCTTTGCCTCTAAGGAGCATCCTGGCTGTACTTCTTTGAGGGCAGATTTGCTTGTTTATATGGCAGTCCGTGGTACTTTGAATATTCATTACCTGCACCATAATTAGATGCATTCATTCTTTGTTCTTTCTTACTCAGTGCCCAGCTTTCACTTGCATATAAGGTGATTGAAAATATGGTTTGGGTCAGGCACACCCTACTCCTCAAACTAACCTTGTTTTTCATCACTTTAAATAGGTCTTGTGAAGCAGATTTACCCGATGCACTACATCGTTTGATCGCGACTGCTGCTCCCATGAGCATTGATTGTGGATCCAAGCCAGATGAAATCCTTGACTTCAATCCTTGCTTCCATTTAGAGTCACTGTACAACAGTTTCTCTTAAATAATAGCATGCACGCTAAGACAACTCAGCAAAG